GGACTGCTGAACCTTGCATAGACAAGGTAGGAAGGCCCTTTAGAAAATCCTGCTTCATGGATGACTCTGTCCCAAATACTAGGCCTGTGAGCCAAAAATGGATACCACAACTGAGAAACCTTGGGTGAATGTCCAGGCAGCCATCAGTTTCTGTCATTTCTCACATTTTTTGGCAGTTGCCTGCTTGCATTTATTGCTTACTTAGTGAATATTACTTCCTTCTTGGGTCTCTGAGGGAGTTCAAGATTAGATAGTTACAGTTTTACTTGTTAACTAATTGAGAAAAGAAACTCACTAAAAAGGTATAAAGTGTATATGTTTGAAAGTCATTGAAAGAGAATATTCAGTTGGTAATAAAGGATAGTAAGTGAATTAGGTACAACATTCTGGACTCACCAAAATGGAATAAATAATGGAATAATTTCTCTGAATTTGTTCATTGCTAATGGGCTGGACAATGTTAATGTAATTCTTGACTGGATATATTGTATATTCTTATTATATTTATTGAATATGGTTTTCTTATATTAATTATAATCTTATTTTATTACATTAGACAAAAATGTGGAAATGTGGTGATATATTGTATACCCTAATAAAAATTGCCTGAGGATCAGAGGGCAGAGCCATCCACTAGTTCAGGCAGTAGTGGCACACACCTTTTATCCTAGCTCTTGGGAGGCAGAGATGCTGTGAGATGTTTTTTATGTTAAATGTGTGCTCTGATTGGTTAATAAATAAAACACTGATTGCCCAGTAACAAGGCAGGAAGTATAGGTGGGAAAAGGAGGGAGGAGAATTCTAAAAATTAAAAGGCTAAGGCATAGAGACACTGTCAGCTGCTGCCATGACAAGTGAGATGTAAGGTACCGCTAAGCCACAAGCAACATGGTAACTTATAGACTAATAGAAATGGGTTAATTTAAGATATAAGAACTAGATAAGAAAAAGCCTGCTGCGGCCATACAGTTTGTAAACAATATAAGTCTCTGTGTGCTTACTCAGTTGGTTCTAAGCAGCTGCAGTACTGGCAGGTGAGAGAGATCTGTCCTGACCTTAGGCCAAGCAGGACTGGAGAACTCTCCAGCTACACAGAGATTCATCTGCATCTCTGTGAGCTCAAGGCCACCCTGCATTACAGAAGACTGACTCAGTCTCAGAGAGGAATTAGAGCCAGATAATGATGGTACATACCTTTAATCCTAACACTTAAGATCTCATGCATTTGTTGAGGAAGTACACATGCCTTTAATACCAGGATGTATTATGTCAAGATGAAGAAAGTTCTACATGTTACAAGGAGACAAGAACTAGAGGCTCTTTTTGGCCTATGCCTTTACATTTATGATTCAGAGGCTTTCATGATGGGCTGAGAAGTTGGTGAGGTGAAGTTGGCTGTGGCTCTCTCTGCTTCTCTGATCTTTCAGCTTTTACCCCATCATCTGCCTCACGGATTTTTATTAATAAGACTTTTTTTTTTAAATTTTGTGGCAGGGTTTCTGTGTAGCTTTGCACACTTCTTGGAATTCACTCAGTAACCCAATCGAGCCTCGAATTCACAGAGATCAACTTGCCTTTACCTCCCAAGTGATGGGATTAAAGCCATATACCACCACCACCAAGCTTTAATAAGACCTTTTAAGTTTTAATACCTGCTAGGGAAGCAGGTAGTCTGACTGAAGATTTTTACCTGTTCCTGTGCTTTTACAGCTCCAATTCCCCTGTCTCATCCTCATTTATGCCAGAGAATAATCTGTGGTATCTCCCTCATCTAGGTTGAATCCAACAAATTTTCTAAACTCAATAATCAAACTCGGAGTACTGTCTCAACTTTTAACTCCAACGCGGCCTCCTTGAGAACCCACCAACTACTGTGCCAAAGAAGAGCTAACCTAAATACAGATCTTCACTCTTCCTTATTCCTTTGAGTCCAATACCCCAGCCTTATTCCCAGCTCTGCAGCAGGGCACTTGCCTTAGCCACCCACATCTCTAGTGGATGTCTGAGATCCCTGCTAACATCCCTACCACAATGCGAGTATTTGCCCCATACCTCAACTCAATCAAGTATTCCATAAAAACATCCAAAACAACCTAGGCAATGAAACTGGTTAAATGCAGATCTTCACCTCTCCCTTTGAATCTCCACGTCCAATCTCCTAGTCTTAGCTTTCAAGATCTATGTGGAACACCTGTTGCAGACTTCCTCCTACATATGTCCCTGTCTCATGTAGATAACACAGATCTTAACAACCAAAGTTCTTCCCCCTACTCATTTTTTTTTGTCCTAGCAAATGATGAAATCCAGAAGATACTATTTAAGCACTTACTGGCCAGTCTAATCAGGAAACAAGTAGACTAAGTGCAGATCATGATCTCTCCTTCCATTCTTCCAAGTCCAATCTTCAGTCTCATTCACAGCTTGATTTCATACCTTCTATTGTGATCTGACTTCACTCAGTGGTCCCATTCCCAGGTAACTAACTTAATAGCTCCTGTGGATTTATCTTTTATCTTCCCTTCTGTGGATCTTCTTATGCCTTCATCCTAGATTATTCCCAATCCTAAATGTAAGCATTGTAAAAATGGAGAAATTTTACCTAAACTGCAAGTGGCCACACTTATCAGGATTCCAGAAGAATTTTCTACCAGGCAACACACTGTCCTAAGTACCAGACAGAGCAACAGAAATTAAGCAAGGAAATACCAACCCAGCAAAGACAGGATCAGATATCAGCATGTAGAATTACAATTTCCCCAATCGCAGATGCCTAAAAACCAGCCTAAAAACACAGTCAATAACATCCAGGACAGTATACCTTCACTAGAGCCAACCAAATATACTACAACAGGCTCTGAATATTCTAACATAATTGGAAAATAAGAAAACAACACTAAAATGTTTAGGTGGAGATGACAGACATCATTAAAGAGCAAATAATAAATCTCATAAAGTAATCTGTGAAAACATAAGCAGTACAAGGAATTTAAAAAAAATTCAAGACCTGAAAATGGAAAGATTATTAGTCACAAAACAACAACAACAACAACAAACTGAAAGAAATGCAAAAGATAAATTTAGGAACTCAAAAAGGAACCTCAGAGATTAACTTCAATAATACAGTCCAAGAAATAGATGAGAGAAACTAGAGCATTGAAGACAATGTAGAAGAAATGTAGACATTTGTCAGAGAAAATGTTAAATCTAAAACATTCCTTGCACAAAACATGCAGGATATCTGGGACACCATGAAAATAATGTTTAATATTAAGAATAGAAGAAAAAGAAGAAAACCCAGGTCAATTATACATAAATATTATAAATTATATAATATATAAATGAATAATAAATATAAATATGAATGTACATACATATGAATACCATCTAAATACTATAAAATAATAATGGTGGAGATGGTTTCCTCAATGTCTATCTCTAGAAAACAAAGGAATTTTCTTTTACTTTGATTAGATTAAATTTAATTTATTTTTTGGCAAAGAGACCTTATTGAAACCTCTAAACAACACAGTTTCAAAGTTGCTCTTTACAAACTGACTGGAAGGACGCAATCTTGAGGACAACACCTTCAGAACTCATTGAACATGGAGATGCTTGACTGGTGACTACATAGCCTAGAGCTTTCACCTCTAGTTCCTAGATCTTCAATACTGCAATGTGCTTTCACACTATCAAAAGAGAAATGTAGACATGAAGCCAGCCACAATCTTTTGATCTACAATGGTGTCTGCTGTCCAGCAATCCTTCTCTACACTATGTATATGTTTAGTCTCATTATTTAATAAAAAGTTGATAGAAAAGTAATGTGGAAGGGAGTAATGGACAAAAGCCAAACTCTGAATGATGGGAAGAAGAAGAAGGGTGGATTTAGAAGATATGCTAGCCACCCACCCAGGAAGCAAGACATACTAGAGGACAGGTAAAGTCAAAAGCCACATGGCAGTATATAGATTAATAGAAATGGGTAAATTTAAAGGTAAGAGTTAGCTAGTAAAATGCCTAAGCTATCATCCAATCATTCATAATTCACATTCAGACTCTGTGTTGTTTATTTGGGATCAGGCAATTAGAACAGGAAACATTCGTCTACATAGTCAAACTTGCAAGATAAGATAGGCCAATGATACCACAAATCTCATGGCAATAAACAACCAGTAACAGATTTTACTTAAGGCTCACTCCGTGAGATGGGATGCATTTAAGACACTGCTTTGATGAGAAGAGACTGGGTAAAACCAAATAATACTGGTCTAAAATATTGTGAAAAATGATGACTAATGATGTTCTGCTATGATCAGATTAGTCACTTGTTCAGTCATCTTTAGATAAATTTTTCTCCCAAAGCAGTGGGGAACAAACAGATAGACAAAACAGAGAGTTTGAGATGCTCTTAGACAATCAGCCCTAAATCATGTGTCCCTACCAAATCTCTCACTTTATATCTCAGAGAACTCTTCAGAAGAAGAAAGAATGTTAAAACCAGAGAAGAGGGATAGCAGCAAACAACAAGGCCTTCCACATCAACACAAGAAAAGCTCACATGACCCACAGACTGGAACAGCATGCATAGTGCCTCTCCACTCTGCACCAGTTTTCTGCTTATAAGTTATGGCTTCCAATTTAGTGATGTTATACGGCTTCCTGAATGTGTGAACATGTCGGCCTCTGCTTGGGCCTTTTCTTGTGCTCTTTTCCTTCTGTTGGTTTGTCTTGTCCAGCTTTGAGGTGATAATACTATTTCAACATATTGTACTTTATTTTGCTATATAATTTTAAATGAATGAATTAATGAGTAAATGAATGGATGAAAATCTATCCAATAAGCTAAAGGTTAACAACTCAGCTCTCATTTATATCAGCTGGGAGAGGGAAAATCAGTTTTCTTCAGTGCAGTGACACTGGATTTATCAATCATTCCAATGAAATCTTCATGTTCATGAGTAGTTGACTAAAATGTAATAAACCTGATGTGGTTGTTTTTCTTCTGCACTCTAATTTTAGCAGAAGAACAACAATATTCACACATTTGTATCCATACCATCATAAACTAACATACCTATGCACATCAAAAGAAAAGTTAAAAGCCAAGTCAAATGTGATGGCATCCATCTGTGATACTAAAACTCAAGAGGAAGAGACTTGAGAAGACCCAAGATACAGTGTCAATTTCCAGCTCACATAGCATTTGTGGCCATCCTAGGATACAACAGATCTGTAAAAGAAAAAAAAAGGCAAACTCTGTTACTACAAGCACAAAAATAACCAATATCATAAATATAGCAGATAATTAACAGTGGTTCTGACTTGGAAGTGATATTAAAAATATGTGTTTATTTGGAGGCAGTGATTCCAAAGGGTATGTCAATAAGGATGTCTCAGTCTTGGCATGTAGCAGAGGATGGTTTTGAACTATTGATCCACTTGAATATGTCTCATGAATGTTGTGATTGAAGGCTTGCACCATAATGGTCAGTTGGGATATTTATTATTTTGTTACATTTTCATTGATGTTTATCAGGTGATGAGACCTAATGGCTGGATCTAAAAAAAAACAACCACAAAATCTATGTGTTAACAGGGAGTAATGTTCAAAAAGCAAACAAGTAAATACCTGCCTCCTTGTGAAGTGTGCTATGAGGACAGAAAGATTACATGACAGAAATGGGAAGAATGATATTTTGTATGATGTTGGGATGAATGATTCACATCAATACCAAAACATGTTGAATAAAAAGAATTGATGGTATTAATCAAGGTTATATGACATTGTTAATAATCACATCAATGAACAGAGTGAGGAGAATAAATCATGTCATAGCCACTGGGGTTGGGAAGCAGAGAGGGAGTGGGAAAGATAGAGATGGGGGGCATAGAGAGAGAATGGTTTACATGGGCATTCAGATAGTATGTGACACCCTAGAAACTTGTAGTTAATGAAATCATTTTCAAGAGATGCATTTTTATTTTTGTATATGTTTGTTCATAATCAGAGAAGTATGAATCTGTGTGGCATGTGTGAGTTTGCATGTGTGTGTGCTCACTGAGGTTTGCAGAGTGTCAGTTCTCTGAAGCTGGAGTCAGGAAACAAATTGAGCTACTTAATGTGAGTGCTAGAAAACACTTGCCACTCTTCTAAGTACTTTTTTCTAAGTATTTCTAAGTACTATTGATTACTGAAGTATCTATCCAGCCCTAATAACATAATTTTGAAAAGTAAGTTATAAAAACAACTTTATTGAAGAAGGAAGTGTACAAATTTTCACAGATGACATATACAACAAATAATTGTAAATAAAGTAAATTAATATACAAAAGGGAATGGTGTCATTATGAGATGACAATGGATAAAAATATACATTGTTCATCTTATACACTTGATGATCAAACTGTCTCTGTAACCCACATAAATCAGAACTAGAAAAGTAACTCCACAACATTGTTCTCAAGTTCTCTCAAATGTTCTTTGAAATTTGTGTAACCACAGATTCACACATGCACACATACACACGGGATCAAAATTAATAAGATATTTTTATGGCTGGGCATGGGAGGAAGGAGGAGGGTGGATCTATGGGTGGTATGTGGAGTGAGTAGAAAATTTCTTAATAAAGAAAAAAGAAAAATAAATTTAAAAAATGATTTTAAAAATGTATGTTTAAAGGAAAAATATAATAGTGTGTAGGCAAGATGGTGGACTTGGGACAATCCAATAATAACAAAGGTAACAAAATAAGAAGAAAAAAGTGGGAATTCCAGGATATCTGTCATCCTATGCAAAGATGAAATGTAAGTTTCATAGGTGTAGTAAACATTTTATGGTCATTTCTTGTAATAAGGACATGAGATATCATGTTTAGTAGCTTCTAATGTTAATTTAACACATTCTATATCGACCTTGGAAGATATTTGCACTGAGGAAACATCTAGATTACATTGGCCTGTGGGCATGTCTTTGAAAGAATATCCTGATAGTTCATTGATAATGTAGAATGATGAATCCCATTGTGGGCAGGATCATTCCCTACTCATAGGTGTCCAAATAAGTATATGGGAAGAGAAAGCTAGTTGCAGGTAAGAAAGCAAGAGTAAACACATTGTCTGTCTGATTTTGACTGTAAATACAGTGTTTTAACTTCCTACCAAGACTTCTTATCAATGATATAATGTACTCTGGAGTTGTAAGTAAAACAAACCCTTTTCTCACTAAGTTGCATTTTGTTAGAATGGATACACATTCAGATACAGGCAGAATTTAGAACCTCAAATAGACAAGACCAGAAAAAAACACCTCTCAAAATATTATATTTAAGTAAAAAATATGTATTGACATTGGCAAGAGAAACATCAAGACAAAATTAAAGGAAAATCTGTGAGAATAATAGATTTTACCTGAGATTTTGAAAAGCAAGAGAAACTGGAAAGTGGTATTCAATGTTCCAAAAGACAGCTAATGACAATTCAGACTACCCATCAAAGCTGCTTATCATTACTGAAGGAGATACAAAAATTTATGTGCTAAAAATAGGCAAAATGAAATTATGACAACCAACACACCTCTACAAAGCATATTTAAAGGAAAGGAGTCTTTTACAGATAAGAGAAATATAGGTGTATGCTTAAGAGTGCAACAAGCAAAATTCATTTTACCAGTCAACTTGACACAACCTAGAATTATCTGAGAAAGCCCAGTTAAGATATTGTCCTCATCAGGCTGACTTGATACCAGGTGTTTGAGAGGTCATCTTCATTGATGATCAATGTGTTTGGGCCCACAGCATAGGTAGCTGAGACTGAGTTGTATAAGAAAGAAAATGAGCATGAAACACTGATGAAGTTAACAAGCAGATTAGGAAAATGATTTCTGCTTCAGTTTTTTTTTGGAGATATTGCCCTGACTTCTCCCATAGCTAAATTGTGACCAGAAAGTATAATAATTTCTTCCCTACATTGATTCTAGCAAGAGTGTTTTTTCACAGAAATGATAAAGCAAAGTAGAGCAACAGCTAAACAAAAAATAATGAAAGGAAAACAGCTCGAGCACATTGGCAAAATCATCAAAATTACAATCATGAATAAGCACCTTTCAGTAGTATCTTAATTATAATGGAATCAATTCCTTAATCAAAAGACACAGGTTAGGAGATTAGAATAATAAAGTATGAAGTATTTTTTTGTTGTACTGCATCATAAAAAGGCATATGTAACCTTAAAATGAAATGAAGAAAAAGATATTTGAGGCAAATGTAGCTTGAAAACAAGCAATTGTTGCTGATGCAATCTGACAAAATAGACTTGAAAACACATGTAATGGAAAATGATAAATATCACTTCCTAGTGATTAAGGGAACAATACTGGAGAGAACTGTACAGTTCCACACACAGGTACACCCAGTACTACACAGAAAATACTACTAGATGTAAATCCAAAGTCTATCATCAGGTATCATAGTAGTTCATTCTAAGAATTAATCTTTCATCCCAAAACAAGTAGACAGACTTAAATGAAATCAAAGGTAAAATGGCCTGAAAAGACATTATAGAATATTGTATCTAAACATTGCAGAATACAAATTGTTCTCAGCAACCCATGGAACTTTCTTTAAAATATATCATATATTAAGACACAAAGAACGTCAGAGAAAATATGGGGAAACTGAAATATTTCCTTTTATTGTACATGACAACAATGAAATAACTTCAATAAACAAGAGAAACACTAGAAGGTAAAGAAACTCATGGTGGCTTAACAAGTCACAACATAATCAAGAATGATTTCTTGAAGAATCCAAGAGTAGAAAGACTCCTATAATAACATGAAAATTAAAACCAACCAATGAACTTTAATCTGTGAGAGTCAATGTAAATAGTCCTAAGAGAGATGTTTAAAGGTCAACATGCCTACATTAAAATTTAAAGAGATTTCTAATAATTTAGTTAATGTTTCACCTTAGGGCTCTGGGAAAAGAACGAGTTACACATCCAAATCAGGAGCTCAAAGAGAGCACTGACATTAATGAAATCAGTGAAATGCAAACAGCTGAAAAGATAACACCACAGAGTCAATGAAATTGATTTTGGTCCTACAAAATAAAAAAAAAAAATTACAAACTTTAGATAAACTATCCAAAAGGACTCATGTAAGCCAACACTGAATATGTAACATTCAAAAATGGAGTCATTATGAAAAGCAACAGTCAAATTCAGAAAATTATTAGAGTTTATTTTAAGAACATTCCACTAAACTGGAAAAATCTAAGACATATGAATGAATTTCTAGAGAGGTCAAAAACTACCATAATTAAACTAAGATGATGATTTAAACATTTAATCAAGTTTGGATGGGGATAAGGCTCAGCTGTTAAAAGCATTCACTGTTCTTGTAGAGAACCAGGATTCAATTTCCAGTACCTGTATAACAATGCACAATATCATTGCTTAGATACTTGGGGCAACAGACATTTGCAACAAACACATACATACATGCAAGAAAAATCACTTCTACACATAAAATAAAAGGAACCTTAAAAATAATCAGGACTGGCTCTATCCCTTGCCTGTCACCTCTGGGGTGGGAAAAGGCACAGCCAAGACCATCACTGAATAATTCAGCTACCACTGAGGCCCAATCTAGGGCTTTGAGTTGGGTCACCCCAACATTGGCCCTATGTGTGAGTTGGTGGAGAAGATGAAAAGGGCTGGTCCTTCAGAACCTAGTCACAGGATATCCATGACTGTGAGTGATAGTAACATATCCAAGATGTGTCTAGGTGAGGGTCCAGTATTGATGGTGTAACACAATGCGGAGGCCCTGAACCAGAACAACAGTTCATTGCAATGTACATTATCTGTAAATAAAGCTGTTTGGGCAAAACAATATACTGCATGACACTCCCAAGTTCCCTATGCCATTATGATGAACAAATAATTAATGGAGATGTGGGGAAAATGGAGTAGTAAAGTGGAACAAGTTGGTTGGAACTGAAGGCATGACATGTTTGGCTGGTATGAGAGACGGCTGCTATTGATGGTGGAGCATATCCATGCCGAGAGTGTTCGAGAAGATTTGGTTTTTGGTTTGTTTGTTTTTCTTTTCATTTTAAACTAAATTTGCTCATGTATATTTTTACATTCAAGCCATAGTTTCCCATTCCTCCTTGCCTCCCAGGAATGCCCCCAACTTCCCTTTCAAATCATTCCTTCTCTGTTTCTGTTTAGGAAGGGGCAGGTCTCCCCTGAGTATCAACAAACCATGGCCTATGAAGTTGCAGTAAGACTAAGCAATTCTCCATGAATTATAAATACAGTTGCTAGGAACATAGTTGAACAATATCATAGTTGTATGATTGCTCATCCTTTGGGTATGTGCCCAAGTTTGGTATAGCTGGGTCTTTTTGTAGGTTGATTCCCAGCTTTCTGAGTAACCTCCACAATGACTTTCAAAGAGAATGTACAATTTTCCACTCCTACAAGCAATGGAAGAGTGTTCCCCTTACTCTACCTCCTCTCCAGCATAAGCTGTTTGATATAGATATATAGGATAAAAGGTTAGATTGTTGAACCTACTTTTAAAAAGCAACAACTTCTTTAAAAGTGTTTTACATTGCTATGGATTTTAGTTTATTGATACAAATTTAAAATTAATTTTATTACACTATATATGTATTTTTACTCTTATTTAAGGAATTATGTTCATGCAACTCATTTAAATTGTAATAAAACAATTAGTCTTCTGTGATAGTCATTCTTGAAGGACTTGAAGTTTTTGACATGCTGGTCTTTCAATTGCTTGGTTAGAGTTAAGTCAAGATTAAATTACTTCTACTTTAGTAAGTTAGCCTTGAGCAATGGCATACACCAATTTCTAAGTCCAAATTCCTGTTTCCTTTGTATGGTCTAATATGAACACTCTAGCTATATGTTGTTTGATAGGTTTTTTTAATTTGTTCCCTTTCAGTGTGTTGAGAAACTCCTACACAAATATTGTAATCATTACATTGTACCTTCTCTCAGTTTTGCTACTTCCCTCCTCTTGTGGTCCTCATTTCCCAAATTCATAAGAATTTTTACATATCTTATATATGTACAAATATAATAGATAAATGTATATGTTATGTATGTATATATAAAATTGGGATGCATTTATATTGTTATACATATATAATATATCACACCTAATGTATTGATTTAATTTTGATCATATGTCTATGTGTTTTGAAGTGACCAGTTGGTTGTACATAACATAGAAGAGCTGTAGGCAATTGATATATTTTAAATAAAAAGGAGTTAATATCCTTCTAGGAGGAACACAGATATGAAAGAAGATAAACATGATGCCTGATAGAGCTTATAGGGGAGACTTGCTGTTTCGTCCAGTGATAGGTAGCTATACATAAGTCATTGTATATTCATTAATAAACTCAAGTCTTCTGGTTAATATTTAGGCAATTTTATATATACCAGGTTCATCCTGGAAGAAGCAATTGCAATTTTGAATATGCCTCCACTGACTGACATGTAATTATGTCTTGGCCATTTCTTGGTTAATTATTCATGTGGAAGGACCCAATCCAGTCGTTTTTGAGGCACCTGCCATAGGCAGTTGGTCTTGGTTTGTTTGGAAAAGCAGACTAAGGAAACTCTGAGGAATGAGTTGGGGAGGAGTGATCTGTGATGTGACCTCTTCAGTTCTAAGTAGACATCTGCCCTTTTCTATTGGTGAAATTATTAAGGCTATTCCATGTAGTTAAAAGGAAAATTTATTTTGTGGGTGACTTACAAATGAAGGGATAGGTAGATCTCGGGGATCTGGGGAAGGTGTATCGCAGTCCAGCGGTGTTCTCTGGAGCTCTCCTCAGTCAACCTCTACTGTCTAGGGTCCAGGAACAGAGAGCGCTTGTCCATCCAGGTCTTGGGTCTCCCGAGGCCTCCCTTGGCCCTGACTCATAGGCGTGACAGTTGCCAGAGTCTCAATAGGGGTTGGAACTTCCATATCCAAGCTGGAATGGCTACATCTCCCCCTTTTTGTCTAAATAAGAATGTTCTAAACTAGTACAAGACTATATACAAAGGAATGGTTATCAAATATTGTCCAGGAATAATGAAGGATAATGACCTAGATAAGATGGAACTACAACCAATGCAAACAATATCAAGTAAGTATAGAGCATAGGTAAATGGCATGTTATAAAGGTCATTCCAAAGGTGTCCTATCCTAAAGAACCTGATTCTAATACTTAATATGTCCTATCTAAGCTATTATATATATTTAGTTGTAACTATAACTGCTAGTCTTCAATCCCATCAAAGACATGAGAAGGAACATAATGGTTCGTGAGAAATGGTGGATGGATTCAAGCAACTTTCGGGAGTCTTGCAAAAGTAGACATAGACAGCTGGCAGCCTGGACAGTCACCTAATGTTTCTCAGCATTATTGGTGCATTCAAATTGGCTACAGGCCTAGAGTATCTGACAGACCATTTTCAGAAGCAGGAATTCTGAAAGACCATCTTACCCAGTCTTGCCAGAGTACAGTGGTCGCTTTCCTTGTGTCCTGCTTGTCCAGGAAGCACAGCATTGTATTCATACTCTCAGCTGTCAAGGCAAGGGCAGTTCTTTGCCCAGTAGGCCATTTTGTGCCAAGAAGACAAACTTCCAAATGGAAATGTCTTAGAAGCCCAACATTCTCTCGGGATCAAATTGGCACAGCCAGGAGCAATTGTGTCTCACGTCAACAGAATTCTAAGTTATTTAAATGCCATATTCTCTAGGTCTATGAAGTGTTTGAAGATTACCTGTGATCTGACCTATGTATCTGTAAATGTGGATAACCTAACTAATGTAACTATAGAGATGACAGGCATAGGTGACTATAAATCTATAAATCTTATCGGCCGAAATAACCTAAGGACTAAGGCTTCATGTAAACAAGGTAAACAGTCTATAAGCAAATATATGGTGAAGAACGATGACTTCAAAATTGTGACAATACACCAGATATTTATAACAGAGGTAGGAATATATAGTACGATATGTAATATGACTATAATCTTAAATATATATCAATATACCGAATATCCTAAACAGAAGTAGAACATACATAAAGTATGACAGATATAAATTTACATTTGTATCAATATAAAAATATTTCAAATAAGAGTAGAAATATACGTACATTATAACAAATATATTTCTGTATTTGTATCAATATACAAATCATCTTATACAGGAATATAAAATAGTTTACATTTGTATCAACATATAAGAATCCATAACAGTACATGTTACAGTGCAAATTATCTAAGGTTGCTATTTTACTAAATTTGTTTACTAATATATACAATGATCTACCATAATATTTTACACCTATCCATTCCATTTCTTCTTTTTCCTTTTTTTAAAGGAGAATACTGAGTTTAATATTTTCTTCCACCCCCCAACCTATAACCATCATCCATAAACCTGAGAAATATGAAAACTAAGGGACAAGGTGCCTCGTTTTCTTAGAATTGCTTCCTGCTGTTTAGGGGGTGATGTTATCTCTTTTGGGTACTGTGAGAAAGCTCAGATAGTTAAATCTCAGTTAGACTAACTGTAGCTTCTGCAGCAAGTCTTAGAGTAATGGAGAAGATTGTCTGAAATTCTGGCAAGAAGTGTAGTAAGATGATGATTACCATGACATCATTCTGGATTGGGTAGAGTTGGTGTTGTTGGGGCCCCATCTTCCTTCTGGAGACTTTGGAGATTGCTTTTGGAAAAACTTATTTGTTATCAAAAATGGAAGGTTTGGATTTAAAGAGGACATAGCATGTAAGAAAGGATTTTGAGAAATCAAGAGTAAGTATGGAGAGCATTAGAATTTAGAAGACAATGGTTCCTTTTTATTGGTTTCCTTCTGTCCCACACCAGAGGACTCTTCTGATACGGGACTGAAGAATGTCTCAAACTTTTCTTTTACCAATATGCTTGGGTTTAGAGAAGGAGTGAGCCAATTCCATCTCCAAAGCCAGCTTGGCTTATAATTGAATTGGAACAATAACTTTACTAGATTGATAGAGAGATAGATGTTAGACAGTGAGAATTTACCATGTGTAAAGTGGTACCAACAGATTCTTTCTTCCTTTTGTAAACATCCGGATATCTGAGGCCTTATGATTTTTGGAAGATGGGTATTTCCGTTATTCTGGAAAGACAAAAACAGATCCGTACCCCAACCTTTAATTGTTAAATTTTTCTTAATTGTAGAGATGTCACATTGGTGGATGGTCTTTTATTTCTCTTCATCAAGGGGTTTTCCCTGTTCAAATCGATTTTTTATTAATTTTGTTGGTATCCATAGCTTTACTTCTCCAGCAGAAACAAAGGCAAAACCCCTTCCCCAACGTAGAACATATCCAGGTTTCCATTCTGAGGTCAGCACATCCTTGAAATAAACCGGTTGGTTTAGCTCAGGAGTTGTGTCTCTCGTCCAATGTCTCTCCGAAGCTGTTGTTCCCTTCTCATCAGCATTGAGAAAATTCAAGGTTAATAATGCACTATGCAGTCTATTTCTAGGAGTCATTGTTACCTGTTGCTGTTTATTTAGCATATCCTTTAAGGTTTGATTGGATCTGTCTATGACTGCTTGGCCTGTGGGATTGTGTGGTATACTTGTAACGTGCTTTATAGTGTAATAAGTGAAGAATTGTCTCATTTTATTGGAGACATATGCTGGGACATTGTCTGTCTTAATTTGTATAGATATTCCCATGATGGCCAAACTTCTAATAGATGTGTGATCACAGAATCAGCCTTTTCAGAACTCATAGGAGTTTCCCATTGAAATCCTGAATAGGTGTCAATGGTGTGATGTACATACTTTAATCTTCCAAATTGTGCAAAATGAAACACATCCATCTGCCAAATTTCATTTCTTTGTATACTTTTTGGATTGCTCCCTGCAGGCAATGGAGATTGGTTATAGATGGAACAAGTAGGACATTTTTTTCACAATGTCCTTAGCCTGTTACCAAGTGATGGAGAAATTCTTCTTCAAACCTTTGCTATTTACATGGTTTTTCTTATGAAATTCTGAGGCTTCTAGCACATTACCTATTAGTAACTGATCAATCTCATCGTTACCTTGTGCTAGAGGTCCTGGCAGACCTGTATGGGATCTGATATGTGTTATATATATAGGATGTTCCCTTTTTCTGATGATTTCCTGAAATTGTATGAATAATGATGTTAATTCTGTATTATCAGGAATAAATTCAGCAGTTTCAATATGTAAAACAACTCTCTCTGCATATTGAGTGTCAGTGACTATATTGAGGGTTTCTGTGAAGTCCATCAGTACCATAAGAACAGCATACAGTTCTGCCTTTTGTACAGAGTTGTATTGACTTTGTACCACTTTACTTAAACTCCTGATTTATATCCTGCTTTCCCTGATTTATTTGCATCAGTATAAAATGTGAGGACTCCAGAAATTGGCTTTTGTCATACAATGTGAGGAAGGACCCATTCAGTCTTCTTTATGAATTCTATTCTCTTGCTTTTGGGATAGTTGTTAATCTCTCCCAAAAATTTACTGCAGGCTCTCTGCCGGTATTCATTATCTTTCCATAGTGATGCAATTTCCTCATTAGTTAAAGGTACTACAATTTCTGCCGGGTCCATTCCTGTCAACTGGCGAAGTCTTAATTTACATTTTTTGAATCAAATCAGAGATCTTTTCTATATATGTCTTTAATTTCTTATTTGGTTTACGTGGTAGGAATATCCATTCCCATATAATATCTTCCATCTGCATCAAAATATCTGTTGGAGAATTTCTGGAGGGGAATATGACAAGAATGCATTTAAGTTCTGGATCCACACAATCCACATGTGCTTCTTGTATTGTCTTTTCTACTAGAGTCAATTCATTCTCAGCTTTGGCTGGTAATTCTCTTGGACTATTGAATTCTTTGTCTACTTCTAGAGAATTAGCCAAATTTTGTAGTCCATCTTTGGGCATTCCCATGATACCCATTAATTTGGAAATGCTTCCTAATAACTTTTGAAAATCATTAAGAGTCTTCAATGGATCTCTCCTTAGTTGTACCTTTTGGGTTCTAATTTTTTGTAGCTCTATCTTATATCCTAAGTAATTAATAGAATCTCCTCTTTGTATTTTTTCAGGAGCAATTTGCAGTCCCCAGCGAGGCAAAACTGTTTTTCCTTCTTCAAACATGCTTTCTAATGTATCTAACTTTGGATCAGCTAATAGGTTATTATCCATATAGTGTTAAATTATGGATTGCGGAAGCTTTATACGAATTATCTCCAATGGTTTCTGCACAAAGTATTGGCACAAAGTAGATCTGTTTAACATTTCCTGTGGGAGGACCTTCCATTGATATCTGTTGACTGCCTGAGAATTATTATAATTAGGTACTGTGAAGGCAAATTTTTCTCTATCATTTTCTTGTAAGAGTATGGTAAAGAAGCAGTCTTTTAAGTCAATAACTATTATAGGCCATTCTTTGGGTAGCAGAGAGGGCAAGGGCATCCCAGTCTGTAGAGAGCCCATTGGCTGAATTACTTTATTAATAGCTCTCAGATCTGTCAGCATTCTCCAATTACCAGACTTTTTTTAAAATAACAAATACAGGAGAATGCCAATGGCTGCTAGATTCTTCAATGTGTTGAGCATTTAACTGCTCTTGAACCAGCTGTTCCAAAGCTTATAGCTTCTCTTTCGTCAAAGGCCATTGTCCAACCCAGACAGGTTTATTAGCTAGCCATTTTAAAGGTAAGGCAGTTGGTACTTCTGAGAGTTTAGCAGCAGTTGTGCTCTGTTTGTATACAGACTGAATGTTTGGTGACTGTTTTTTATAGCATGCTATGATATTATTCCTAGGAACATGCATTGGTCTGTATTCCTTCTCTGAGAGTGTAGGAATTTTAATCTGGGTATTCCACTGTTGTAACAGATCTCAGCCCCAAAGATTTACTGCTACATTTGCTACATATGGCTTTAGCCTTTCTCTCTGTGCTTCTGGCCCTATGCATTCAACCCATCTCAAACTCTGTTTTATCTGAGATAGGGTGCCAATCCCTAACAGTTGGACATCTACCTCTTGGAGATGCCAATTCGGATGCCATGATTTTGGTGTAATTATAGTCACATCTGTACCTGTGTCTACCAGGCACTCCAGAACCAGGCCATTAATTCGAATTCTAAGCTTTGGTCTTTGTTCATTTATGGAAGTCTGCCAAAATATTTGTTTTATAGTGTTCTTTGTAAACTGTGATCCATCTGTCAGAGCTATTTTTTCTTCCATTGCAGTATAGGTTTTTACCTTATGCTTTAGTTCATTCAGTTGTCCTGGAAAGGAATTTCTTCCACAGTGGCTGGGAATGTTCGTACTACATTTGATTTGGGGGCCTTCAAGAGGCCCCCTGAGGCATTTCCTGCCAGTAAAGGGTTGCCTCGTACATCTATTTTTGATCTGCACTCACTGGTCCAATGTCGGCCTTTGCCACACCTTCTACATAATCCAGGAGGTGGTTGGGGTCTTCTGTTTAGGCTATTCCTAAAAGGAGTATTACTTCTAGGAGTACCTCACCTACAGTTTTTACTTATATGACCTGGTGTACCACATTTAAAACATTTGGAAACACGGGGCCTTATTTCACCTCTGGGATTTGTCTATCCTATCCAAGCCTAATTACTGTAGTTAAGAGACTCAACACCATTAGTGTATTGAATCCATTCTTCCAAAGGAGCTGATCTGATCTTTAGTGGTGTAAGTATTCTCCTGCATTCTGCATTAGCATTTTCAAATGCCAAGGACTCAGTTAATACTTTTCTTAATTCTTTATCTGATACAGCTTTTGTTATAGCTGTGTTCAGCCTTTGTAAAAAATCAGGGAAGGGTTCGTGTGGTCCATGAAATATCTTTGTGTATACCTCAGTTGGTTTTCCAGGTTCTGGAATTTTTTCCCAAGCATTTAGAGCTGCTATTTGACATAAGGATATTGTATGCTCATCATAAGTGTCTGTACATTCCTGTCAGCAAAACATCCCTCACCAAGTATTTGATCTTGGGAGATCACAAAACCTCTGAGTTTACCTTGTTCTAAATTTTTTGCCTATTCTCTCAACAAGCTCTTCCATTGTAGCTGCTGGCTATATTCTAGAACAGCTGAAATTAACTGATGCCAGTCATCTGGGATGATTCCATGTGAGGTAGACCATGAATTTAACATCTGTCTTACGTATGTGGAGTGTATCCCATATGTAACTACTGTTTCCTTTACATTTTTAAAGTCCCTTGTTGCAATGTTTATGTCATATATGGCTCGGGGTGTGTGTCATCTGCTGACTTCTCATAGACGATAACAGGATAAGCCATTGTGTGAGAGCCATTTGGAGATGTTACAACCTCTATGGTCTCGACCTTCTGCTTATTAGTTCCGTTGTCATGTTTACTGAGAGTTTCTTCTATGGCTTGCAAACGAGCACCTAGGGTCTGTTCTACGGAGTGAACCTCCTCTCTTGCAAGGGATTCCAGATTTCTCATGGAATCATAGACATTTTTATTTTCCTCAGAAACACGTGATTCCATGGATCTTTTCTTATCAATTAATGATAATCTTTCTTCCTTTTTGTAGTGTCTGAGTAGGCATAAGATCACTCTGGAGAGTTAGTGTTTTATCCATTAGATATTCATATTTATTATCAATAAAATCAATTTTGGGTACAAGCCTGTTTTGTAAATCCTGATTAGCAGATTCTAGAGAAAGAATCTTTTCCTGTAAGCCTTCATTGCTATCTTTGAAAGCAGATTCCAGAAAAACATTCTTTTTCTGCAAGTCTTCTTTGCTGTCTCTTAAAGCAGATTCCAGAAAGAGAATCTTTCTCTGTAAGCCTTCACTTATATCTTTAAAGCAGATTCCAGAAAGAGAATCTTTTTTGTAAGCCTTCACTGCTATCTTTGAAAGCAGATTCCAGAAAAAGATTCTTTTTCTCTAAGCCCTCATTGCTATCTTTTAAAGCAGATTCCAGAAAGAGATTCTTTTTTTTGTAAGCCCTCATTGCTATCTTTTAAAGCAGATTCCAGAAAGAGATTCTTTTTCTGTAAGCCTTCAATGCTATCTTTTATTTAAATTTTATTTATTTTATTTTACAATACCATTCAGTTCTACATATCA